AAACGAGACATTTTAGACGATCTGAATTTTTTACTTCTTTTTTTTTTATCTTCCCCTTTAAGGCGATCTGATTTAACAAACGAGACATTTTAGGCGATCTGATTCAACAAACGAGACATTTTAAGCGATCTGATTTTTTTTCTGATTTTTTTTTTTTTTTTTTTTTTATCTTCCCCTTTCAGGCGATCTGATTTAACAAACTGCACTCATTAGTCGAATGGATTTAGAAAAAAAATCCCATTTGGGCAAAATGCGAAATAGTCAAGCTATTGCAGTAGTTAGTCGGATGCTGCACTGCCTACCGTCTCCACCCGAATAGAACGCCCGGTCATTAAAGCAGGCAGGCAGCTACATTTGGGCCACCTTTCAGTCCCGGTACAGCGATTATGACGGGGGCCGACGTTCTACTTGGGTTGGAAACGGTAGCACTTAGGGTGTGCATTCAATCTAGAGTCTCCCCTCGATTCGCTCTCCCAAAGTAAGTTCCGTGCGACCTCTCTAATCCATCCTTGTCTTTGCATTATTACTATTATATATAGTCTTTTAAAGCAGGTAAAAAAAAAAAAAAAAAAAGAGGCTTGTCTTTATGAAGCTGACTTACATGTCAGTATTGAACGCTGCTACGTTGATTTCAGTCGCGATTCATTAAACCCTACTCTTCCCATCCCAACAACCAGCGACGTGTTTCTGCCTCTCTATGCGTAGTATTACTCCTCCTTCTCCTCCTTCTCCTCCTTCCCCCCCCTTTCTCCATGGCCCTGCTTCCTGTCTCGGGCTCTCCGCTTGCAGAGAGGTCGATCAAGTGATTACGGCGCCACAGATCTCCTCCCTCCTGCTTTTGACTGCCACCTACCTTCTCCTCCTTCTCCTCCTTCTCCTCCTTCTTCCTCGTTTCCTCCCTCGCATTTCTCCTCTCGCCATAACCAACCACCTCATCCCCGTCATCATATGAATGTCTTCTTCTTCTTCTACTTCCTCCTCCTCTTCCTCCTCCTCCTCCTCCTCCTCCTCCTCCTCACCATAACCACACACACCATCCCATCATCATAAGGATGTCTTCTTCGTCTTCTTCTTCGTCTTCTTTTTCCTCCTCCTCCTCCTCCTCCTCCTCCTCCTCCTTTTCGTCGGGTATACCAGGACGCGGAAATCCGTGCTGGCGGTAGGGTTAAGGAATTATCTTGCGGCTTAATTTTCAACCCAGTCAACTTAGCCGGTTGGTTGAGCGTGCACAACTCCAATGAGGGAGGTCGCGTGTTCGATTCTTGAGATCGGGTCGGATCATGAACGAAAAATGCGAAAAATGTCGAAAAATGTCGAAAAATGCAATTTCTTCTTCTTGTTGCCCCGCTCCTTTGGACTCCAAGCAACCATCGCACTGTCACGTCCAAGGTTTGCGCATCATACTGTAAGTCAACGGGGGCTAGGTATCTGCTTAGACCCCTCTACTATCATTATCTGTTCAAAGGGAAAGGGGCCTCGGTGTCTGCTTAGACCCCTTCTACATCATTTGCTGTTCAAACGGGAAAAGGTCTACAGTAGGTATCTGCTTAAAGAACAGAAGGGGCCTAAGCTTCATCTACATCATTTTTTTCTGTTCAAGCTTCCATTCAGCACATACATGGACGCTCACTTTGTTCAGTCAGCATTTCAGCCGTGGGCTCACAATTTGCACGTTGTCGCGAAACACGGTCACATACGTGAAATCTCGTCTGAGATTAGACTCCGCTCACTTAATCGTTCATTGCACCTGGTCAAAATGTTGAACGCTCGGCCCATTTGCAGACAGCAATCGGATCCGGTACTGCAAGATCTCACTGATGGCGATGAAAGAGTGCACAAGAGAGAGAGAGAGAGAGAGAGAGAGAGAGAGAGAGAGAGAGAGAGAGAGAGAGGCAGACACGGTCACATACGTGCAATATCGTCTGAGATAAGACTCCGCTCACTTAATTATCACAAAAGTCTCGTATGCTGCCATGTGCACATTCATTCTTTCATTATTTCGGTTGGTATCCCGATCGAACTGCTCAACCTGAGCAGCTGTCTATGAAATCAATACGTAATAAATAAATACTGAGAATACTATTATAATAGAGATCCATCACCCTACAACGACACGTCACTCCCATCTGTCAAGAATCGTACTCGGCCTCGTGGCTGTTCATAACCAGATCACCAGTTCAAACCCTGATCGAGACACTGCCAGACAGCCCCACAGCGAGACGGACACGCATAGAACTGCCCACCTACCTTGACTTGCTTGCTGTCCCACTGCCTGCCGCTTCCGATTCTCTTCTTGCTCAACCTTTCTCTCTTCACACCTCAGCTCGCCTTGAACGCCCTGGTAACCAACTCTCTCTCTCTCTCTCTCTCTCTCTCTCTCTCTCTCTCTCTCTCTCCCCACTCCTGCTTCTCTCCTCTCTCCACCGCGATCAGCTTCTGCCAGGGATTCCTCGCGATCTAGCGCATCACTGCACTACTCTCGAAATGTGCAAAACGAGAGTGAATCTTCCGCTAGAATATGGAAAGATGCACGGCCATGATTTTTGTCTTTTGTGCATGTCGAGAGTAGGGAGCGAGGCCCTTCCTCTCCGGCCTAGTTCTTTGAGCCCAACCAATTCAATTACCTGTCAAATCTGGACAAGACGGCCTTTCAGGCCTTTTTTTATTGTCATTATAGTATTACGGGGAACCCCGTAGCAGCCACATCCGTGCTCAAGCCTCCAACGAGGGACATGCGGGAGCTGCTGCACCCACCAGCAGGTGCGATACCTGCTACAGCAGGTGGGCGATACCGGCCAGGGCTCAGCCGGTAGCATCAGGACCGAGCTTCGCCGGGCCAGTCACTGTGCCTCCCCTCAGGTGGTGGTCCCTTTCCCCTATGAACACCAGCAGTCTCTGCTCAATGCCACTCGGGGGACCAACGGCATATCTCTACGTGGCGGGCGCCAAGCTTGCCCAGGAAGGTGCATCAGGCCAATGGGGATTGAACCCAAGACCTCCTGAATGCCACTTGCGTGCCTTCCAACTGAGCTAGGCCACTTCAGTCCACTGAGCCGAGGCCCTGGGAGTGGGAGCGGGCGAGGGGACCGGAATTAAAAAGGGGCCTCCCCCCACATGCCATCGAATGTGCGGAATTAAAAAGGGGCCTCCCGCCACATGCCATCGAATAGTATATAGTTTACCGTTGCTGTGTGATAGTGGAAGGCTGGAAACGGACGCCATTCAGACGAACAAGATTTGCCGCCCACGTTGAGTGTACAGCACTGTCCCTATGCTACCGGTAGTATTAGATGGTCCGCGGACAGGAAAGACCAAGGGCCTCGTTGCGCTACTCACCATCCGCCAACATTTTGATTGCATGTGGACACCCCTTTTGTCCAGATGCATTCGAAATCTTGGCGGATGGCACAACCGTGTTCACGAGAGAACATGCGGGGGCTGCTCCCGACCTGCAGGTGGGCGATACCGACCAGGGGGCAGCCGGTAGCATCAGGGACCATGCCAACAGGACCAATCCCTGTGCTGTGACGCCCAACCTCACGCCCGGCGCGACTTCCTGATCGGAGTGAGATGTGGGCCTGGAAGTGCGAAAAGGGGTGTGCCACGGATTTTTGGGGAAAGTGGGGGAGTTTTAAGGGTATGAATGCAATTAGGCGAAATGGATGGTGTACGCGTACGCGCGTGGTTTTAAGGTCAAGCCGAACACTGGTTCTGTGGGCGACGGTTTGCGGGGAAATCCCTTCGCGGAGAAGGTGGTCCAGAAAAGTTGGGCCGCCGAAGGCCGCTGGCGTAGGCCGCTGCGTGTTTGAGTTGAGCCTCCGAAATTCCGAAGTTTTTCGTTCGCCGTTACGTCGGCAATTTCCGCAGGGCGTGCTGGGCCAATAGGGGGCTATGGCCGGCCACGGAACGACGCTGAGTTGATGATACGGGAGAAGAAGGCGAAACGGAGGGAAACTGGTGGTGATAACGACGAATCCCGGGTGGATGAAGTAGTAGGTGTGGTCGGGGGAAGGAAAGTCAGAGCACCCGGGATCTTTAGAGGTG